AAGCAACTCCTACTTCCCATATGTCCAAATGTGAACTATGCTTTAATGTCCTCATGTTTGACAAGGTTCTCCAGAATTGTTCAAAAACATTTGACTGGATAGTGTTAATCTATAAAACATACAATTTCATTTTCTGGCAAACAAAAATAATTGATACTGATTCACTGATTTAAAAAAATTCTAAAGTTCCCTTGATATACAGTTTTAGATATCTATTGTACATGTATTTCCTTTGGCACAAATTAGAATATCTAGTCATTTTTCATCTGTATGTATATTAGAATGTAGAATGGTGAATAAATTTTGATTAAATTTACAGAAATGAACGTTGCCTGAAAGGGCACATTCTGAAGGTTAAATTGTGGCTCTGAAATTGTTTTGTATGACCCAAATGGATTCAAATAAATAAAAATTATGTCCCATTATATTATAGAACTTATTTTCAAGTAGGTTAGTTAAAACCTTTTTACAGTTAATACAGTTCAATACAGTTCGGTTTGAATTGTAAATTAAAGCTTGTATGTGTAATTCATGTTTTGCTTTTGCTGATTCCTGACGGAATAAAATATATCACTTTCCAGAAAATGAGGTCCAGATATTTTAAAGGTAGCAAAGTGCTATTAAGAAGCCTTTCTTGCAGGTGCAATCCATGTGATTATTACTATGACAGTTCTGTTGGATCTCTTGTAAAGGGCTTTATCAGTAACTTATAAAAGTTAATCCTAGATTTTTTAAAATATATTTTCTAAAAACTGAACAATTTTAAATGTTACCTGAATTAAGTGAAACAGCAGAATAACATTTGCATTTTATAAACTGATTTTAAAATTTATCCATTAAATTCGTAAGTGCTGGTTTTTCTTTCAAGAAAAAAAAAAATCCTCCAGGAGTTAGGGAAACAAATTGAGGAGAAATGCATTGGTCTTTGAAAATTGGAAGGCAGGGCACATGAAAAGTTATCTGTTTTCTTTCATATTTGGAATTTTGGATTCAACCTGTGTTCCCCTAAAACATATTTAAAATTGGTATCACAACATATTTTGGATTATTTTATTAGGTAAATAATATAATTCAGTTTTGGGGATTTGAGTATATATGAACAATATGCATTGCTTGCTAGTTGACAGTGAGTAGTCAACTTTAGTGATTTAACCTACTAAGGAGGCTCAAACTTGGCTAGTATATGAAAGGGGAATCTTCAGAAAATGTACAGCTGTAGGCAAGACAGGACAGTTAAAAAAACTTCCTAGAAGATGGCAGTGGCAAACCATTTTGTTGCTATAAAAACCATGAAGTTCCCAGGAAATTGTAACTCTTATTAAATGTTTGTTCAGCATTTCTATCACTTAGAGAAGAACTTCCAGTTCCAATTACTGTTCTTGAGAGGACTATCTGTATACATAAAAACTGATAATACTAAAAAATTGACAAGGCACTAAAACGTTAGCTGCTGTTCCTGGAGTTACCACCCTGCATCTTTCCTACATTATCCACAAAGCTCATGAGAACGACCGTTTATTTCATTCTATAACTATTTATTAAATTTATTTGCCATCCATCTCAAGTGTGTGATTCTAGGTGACTAAGAATTAAAAAAAAGAAAATGATTACCCAAGCTCTGCAAAATATTTATAATCTATACAATTATTGATTTATTTTAAAATGTATATGATAATCCATTTTAACCAAGCTCATAACTATACTATCATATAGTTATGATGGTATAGTTATAAATAGCACTGCATTTCACAGAAGTCAATAACTTCTTCTCTTATGCATGGAGAAAGTGAAACAGATCTATAGCTTATATAAACAGTTTGATAATTATCTTACTATTGTGCAGAAGACTATAGTAAGATAATTTACTAAGAGTAAGTTACCAATATGTATGGGAATATTATTTTAATTTAAAATTAGGGCTTAAATCATGCTTTGTGGTATAAGATTTTTAATGAATGTGTATTGTGGCATATTTATATTTTTAAATAAAGTTTTAGTAAACCCGATACCTGCTGAGAATCTCTTTATATAAGCACTGTTTACTTATTTGTCAACTCTGCTGCTAGATTTTTCTGCAGAAAATCCACAAAATCAATGTGCATGGTGAGCATCCAATATGGCTGTATATTTTGGATTTTTAAAAATAAAATTGTGGTTCTTATTTTACAGCTTGGAATGGAAGAAGAAGATGTGATTGAGGTTTATCAGGAACAGACAGGAGGCCATTCAACAATTTAGAATGTTTGTTTTTTTCCCCTTTCCCTTTATCCTTTTTTATTTTTAAATAATAGTTCTTTTGTAATGTGGTATATAACACTGAATTAAAACCAACACCACATTCCTATGTTTTAAATATTATTTCCAGTTGTCTGTTTTGAATTCTTGTGCTCATTATACACTGTCATTGTGTCAGACTTTTGTGATCCTACTGCAGTTGTACTTCCCAATTTTTCCCGTTTCCTCTTTAGAAAAGCAACTGTCTACACATGCAGTTACATGTTGGCAAGGGTCATGAATCCAAGCCTTGACTATTTGGCAGTGGGCAGAGGTTTCTACTATTGACGTTGGCCTGAAATTTAGGTGTGTGACTTTTATTTGTGGATTTTAAGAGAAGAAGATACAGAAACTTTTTGAAATATAAACAGGAGGATTGTGTCCTAATATTAAGAAGAGTTTTCTGTAGATTTTACTGAGAAGTATCCAAATACTGATGGCAAAAATGTAGTTTCTTTATGGTAACATTATCTTTGAAATGGCTTCACTGAAGATAACATGGAAATTGTTTGGGGTTTTGTCAACAGAAGATCCTAGGAAAGTTCTAATTAATGTACACCTTCATGCAACAAGAGTAATGATTTTTATGTTGTACCTTTTATGTTTGCCTGGAATGTGGTTTTTCAATGGACATAGATTGTATTGGCTTCCCTTTAAATAAATAAGAGGAAACAAATTCATAAACCTTTGCATTTTCTTTTAAGACATAGATTTGGAAGATTATTTTAAAAGCTAGTGAAGAATATTTAAAGAAGATAATTTTTTATCGATGCTGGAGGATGTTACACAGGAAAAAGATTGATTCACCTTTGAGAATTGAACACTTTCCCTGCTGCTTGCTCTCAGTATATAAGTAGAAATCAAGAATTTATCTTTAACTGGGAGTTGTATTTTGTAATGTGTAGCTCTGGAACTCTGAAAATTAATGGTAAATGAAGAATAAATATGGAAAAAATAAAAATGCTATCCAAACACCTTCATTGGTGTTTAAAAAACAGGGATGTATATTGGGACTCAAATTAGATATGAATAAGCCCTAACCTATTGATTTCAATACAAGTTAACTCTACCTTGTAATCTATATTGGGTCATGGATAACCTAGGTAGTTTGCAGAGTTACATGCATCCCATATGCGTGCACTACCGGTATTAGTGTGATAAAGGTTAGAGACACTGAAAAAGCACTGATCTAAAATCAGTATCCTCACTTTTTAGAATTCAAGTTTTTCTTTTGACTTCAATCGGTTCAGGATTGAAGACCTGGCATTAAATCCTGTTTGTATAGAGAAGTAAACTAGTTGATTTTTCAGACAGCTCCCATTGGCAATCTTAGAGTGTAAGTACCTCTGAAAATAAGTTAATTTTCTGGAAATAAATTATTTGTGTTTGGAAGTTATGTGAAATAGTGTTCTGGAATGAGGCCTGATCAACAAAACCTTTTTTTTCCTAAGTGATTGTCTAATTCAAAATGTTCTATCTTCATATCTCTTTTAGCCAATTGCAGAACTGTCAGAAAACCTGTCAATGCTAGAAAGATTCTTTAGCTCAGGTTTGCAATATTGATGGCAGGGCTAGAAACGCTGCTCTACCTCGGGTTTATTTTTGTTGCCAGGGGAAAGGGAAAGGTCAGAAATTAAGACTGCAATGTTCTTAAGCATTCTTTAACAAACCATTTAATTGTATTTAATTTTCAGGCACTTAACTGTAAAGTGTTAAATGGATCTTCTCCAATGCTTGTAGTTTCCATGTCCCACTTCTGATGCCTTTTTGTACGCATGCCAAACTTTTTTTAAAAATTAAAACTTGTTTTCAAAAATCAAAATCTGGACTTAAGTGTTATCCATATCTTTAGCATTAAACATCTGAATGAAGTCAGTGGGAAAGATTTGTAACTTGATCCTTGTAACATGATTATTTGTCCCTTACACTGCAGTTCCTCCTAGAGGGCGGGCAGCAATTTGCAAGAGAAAAGTTTTAAATGTCTACAATAAAACGCATAGTTACTAAAGAATAAACACTTAAAAATAAGACTCCTTTTTTTAAAAAATAAAAGTAATAGCATAATTAGTCTGAAAGAAAATTTGGGGTCCAGCTGAACTTGCTTTAGAACTTCTGCAGCTGAGAATTCCTTACACCTGAGCAGTACATTACACCAAACCAATTTCTAGGACCATAAAAATTCATTCACAGTGAAAACACAAAACACTGCAGAAATGAGAATATGAATCATGCTCTTAGGTTGTCTCTTAAATAGAAATCCCAAGGTCCCTATTTCTGGAGATCACCTTGCTATTTCAAACGTGTTATTCGTCAGGAACATCTATATTTCTATTTTACAAAATAAAAATATAGTTCATATCTTAAATTTAATCTCGAGATTCATAACCTAAAAAATAGTCTCTTATGCCTTAGGATTTTTCAAAGGAAAAAGCCTACTTGTAGCCTAAAAAAGAAGTAGCTAGAAGGATAGAGAAAAAATAATTTAGCAAGTTTAGAGATGAAACTGCATAGGAACCAATCAAAAGCAGGACCCACAGATGGCATTTACTACGACCCATCAACTGTGGTTGGGTCAGTGTTAAAGGAAGCTCAGCATGTTTGCAATAACAGCAAATAGATTATATTTACATATATCCACACACATCCCAGTATGGGTTAAAAATTATTTAGAACGTTGTCTAGATATATCAGTACTTAGAGATCAGACAAAATTTGGAGAAAAGCACTTAGTAGTTCTACATTTTACTTCTTAGTCTGTTGGAAAACTTGTCAGAATGCAAGTTTGCTTTTATCAAACTACCCAAACAGATATTTGGGCATGGCTAGGACTTTAATCATCTTCTGTTGTAAAAAAAGGACGCTGGAAGTAGGAATAAACCCACGGACGCGAAATATCCTGTCTTCGATCCAGTCCACAGGCTTCTACAAGTAATTGATACTGAAATTGTTGCTCCTTCTCCAGTTCTGCCATTTGTCTGGAACCAGATAAATTAATAAAAAAATCTGTAATTTTAACGAAATTATAGGGAACAGATATGGAAAGTTGAAGTGGGTTGAAAAGCAAAGATCAGTCCCTAGCTTAGTGATGGCTAACTTTTTTGCCATTGCGTGCCAAAAGTGGGAGCGTGGGGGGGTTGCGCATGTGCCCATACCCATAATTCAATGTGCCCCCCCCATGCATGCACGAGCGACCCACTGGGCTCCCCCCACTTTTGGCAAGTGATAGCACGGTGGGCCCGGTAGACCCATTTTTCGCCCTCCCCAGGCTTCGAGAAAGCCTCTGGAGGCCAGAAATGGCCATTTGCTGATTTCTGGTGGGACCGGAAGTCCCGTATTTTTCCCTCCCCAACCTCCAGAGGCTTTCTAGGAGCCTGGGGAGGGCAAAAACGGGCCTTCCCCATCCCTCCAGAGGCCGGAAACGGTCTGTTTGCCAACTTCTGGTGGGCCTGGAATCAGATGCACGCGCCGGAGCTGAACTAGGGCAACGCTCGCGTGTCCACTGATATGGTCCGTGTGCCACCTGTGGCACGCGTGCCATAGGTTCGCCATCACGGCCCTGGCTGAACAAGGAAGACATAGGGCAAGGGACTTCTTATAACTCATCCCCTGTTGGGACACAGAGCAGAGCTTCCTCATGACACCTTCAGTTAAGGGCAAACTAGTTTCAAACTGAGTCTTTCTTAAATCTTGATCTCAAGCAATATGCAGTATTAATGCAATAATCACCAATTTGTAACTTATAAAATAAGAATAATAGTATGTGTTCCACTAAAAATCCTTGCCATAGCATTTGGGAGCAGCTAAAAATTAAAATTTCACAGGCAACTCACTGCCATTAACATTAAGCATTAATACTGACCAATTGGCAAAATTGTATTGCTAATAAAAGCCACTCTTCCTTATCACAAACTAGAGGAGCATATTTACTGGTAAGGGGCGGAACACACTAGGATGAATAGTTATTGGATGCCTGGACATTTAAATGAAAGACATAGCTTAATGGGTGAGGTGAATATAATAATGTATTTACTGGATGCAGGAAGAGGTTCTAATCTAGAAATGTGACTCAGTTCACTTAGGCTAAGTCTAAGAGGAAGACTGAAGTTATCTGACATTAAGTTAGCCTTCTGGTAGATCGAGTGCTATAACACCTGAAAACAGGCATCCTCCCATAATTCACTATTAAGAATGAATTTTTCCTAGGAAATTAAGTATACCTTGAGAGTAATAACGCTTGCTTTCTTGCTTCTTCCAAGGCAACTCTAGCCTCTTCCTCAGCTCTTCTCCTTTTCTCTTCAGCCTCAAGCCTCATTTTCTCTTCCTCTTCTTTTTTCCTCTTCTCATATTCCAACCTTTGCTCCTCGGCCATTTCTGCTAGCTGTCGCCGTTCTTCCTCCAGCTGCACCTCTATTTCTTTCTGTCTGCGTTTTTCTGCTTCTAAGAAACAGAGAGCAAGTGAGCGAGCTAATAGCTATTTTTATTTCAGGAGAAATAAAGTAATTGAAGTGAAAAGATAGGAAAAGACTGTATTTAGGGGAAACTCAAGTGCATGATTAATTAGATTTATTGCAAAACATTTATATTTTTGCACTGTGGTGCACTGTGTGCTCTTGTGGGGATAAAACAGGAGTGTGGTGAAGTGGAACCAAAATAAACCTCTAGTTCAGCGGTTCTCAACCTGGGGGTCGCGACCCCTTTGGGGGTCGAATGGCCATTTCACAGGGGTCGCCAAAGCCCTCTCTTGCCCCCCCCACGCCTTCACTCACCCTCACTCTCTGCTCTGTTGGATCGCTGGCCGTTCGCTTACCCCGACCACTCCCAATCTATTGCTGCCTCCTGAGTCCCAGCTGATGGCTAGAGGAAAAAAAATGTTTAAATTCTTGCCGCGGGGCTTCAAAGGGCTGCCCTAGAGCCAGTGGTGCAGCCGAACCATTTGTTAAATTGCTGGCTTGCCCCGCCCCTCCGCACCACTATTTATTGCCAATAAGTAGTGGTGGGCGAGGGGCGGGCGAGCCAGCAATTTAACAAACGGTCCGATGTTTTTTTTGTAATTTTATTGGCCCACGGAGCTTCAGCATAGGCTAATTAGCCCTTGATTAGATCGGCTCCCGACTCTCAGCTGATTTGCTCTCAGCTGTTTTGTTCAGGGCTCTGCTGCTTGTTTGCAAAGAGTGCTGGAGCAATTTTTTCCCCCTAGCTATGCTGAAAAACGAAACTGAAAGTAAAGAGGCTGTTGGCTTTGCTGTTGCTGCAACGTTGGAAAATTAGGCAGGCAGATTTCTTTTCTTTTTCCTCACCAAAAAAGGTAGGTGCAAACAATGGGAAATTTAGGGAAAAAGAGGAGAGTTCAAGATTTTAAAACACAAAAGAAAAAAAGCTCTATTTAACTAGGGAATTGTAATAATTGAGATACTATTAATTGTATATTGTGTTGAAAGCAGAAATGGTTAAGTTGTGGTTTGGAGGAATATATGGGGGAAATTATTTGGTTTATTATTATTGGTAAATATAATTAATTGATTTGTAAGAAATTGGATTGCATGGAAATAATTGGAATATTCATGTTCATATTGATTAATATACAAAAAAGGTATATATAACTAATTGATTTATATTAAAATGTTGAATTTATATTAAACAACTGTAATATTACATAATTAACCAATGTGAGGATGGATATAAAAATAGATGACAATGGGAAGGGGTATAATATAGAATAGAAGGGAAAAATTGAATTTGATTAAGATTAGAGATGAGGATGAAGGGTAATATTGGTTTTTTTACAAACATAGATGAGGAATAAATATGGCAAAAAGGAAATATAGAAATTGTAAATTTAATTGAAATGACTAAACACTGTTTAAATTTGTGAACTGGCCAAATACTCTGTTCAAAGTGTTGGAAGAAATCTTCTAGGTTCTGCTCCAAGTGGGGAAAAAGACACTGGAAACATGGAGACTACTTGGAAAGATGGTTTAATGGTGGACAGGATCACATGGCTTGCGTTCCTGAACAGAAAAAGGCAGATACAGTAAATCCTCGGGTTTTTATGCTCTCTCTGGCTCTGCATTTCTTGGGGCCCTGAAAGAGTATCCTAATCGTTTGTCAGACTCCCAGGGGGTGGGGGTCTTAGCTAGCCTTGCTGGCTGATGGTCACATGTGCTTCCCAGGTCACATGTGGTGAGTTTCTGCTGCTATTGTGTAGAGGGCTAATCCTATCTTTGTTGGATCTTTGGCAATTCCTACTATGGTTCTGCCTGAAGGAGGTAGATCTTTGTTATGTAGAATAGACTGGCCCAGGCCTTAATGGCCATTGACAAAGGGTGGGGGCAGGAAGATGGGAGCTGCTTCAAAACATGCTTATCCCAGGGAAATATAATATTCTGCCTTTTTCATATTTCCTAAAATAATTCACCCTTCCAGGAAAGGGGTGGGTGCTAACTTCCTACAAAAGAAAATACATTGTATGTTTGTATGTGTGTTTCTAATTATTGTTATTTATTCATATTTGTTCTCTTTTATTCTTTAAAATTTAACAATTCATTCTTTATCTTAATATCTTTATATTTGTTTGGGGTTGGCTTTCTTCCCTTTCATCTTTTTTATTGTACAGCAATCTTTCTCCTCAAACCTACCACCTCTCTCTTTTCTTTCCTTCTTACTTTCTCTTCCTCCCTCTCTTCTTCTCCTCCCTACTTCTTCTTCTTTTCTCCTTCTCCTCCTCTCTTCCTCCCTCTCTTACCCTCACTCCTACTCTAATTTCCCTTCCCTTCCTTCATCCCTCTCTATTGCTGTATCCTTTTATGCATATGGACTACTCAGAGGGTTGAAAAAGTTATTTCTGACTGGTCCTCGCACTTTTGACCAGTCCTCGAACTTACGACTGTCCTCACATTTTATGTTTTTGCCCTATCTTGTCACCATGGTGAAGAGAAGCAGTTGTGAAATGAGTGACACGGTTGTTAAGAATGCTACAATGGGCATAAATGATGACCAGTCATAAGTGCGAAGACCGGTCAAAAGTGCGAGGACCTGTCAGAAATGACTTTTTTCAGCCCTCTGAGTAGTCCCTATACACATAGCCATGGCCACCCAGTCACATGACCAGCTAGCCACGCCCACCCAGTCACATGACCTCCAAGCCACGCCCACAAAATAAGCCACACCCACAGAACCGGTAGTAAAAAAATTTAGAACCCACCCCTGGTTGGGGGTCACCACAACTTGAGGAACTGTATTAAAGGGTCGCGGCATTAGGAAGGTTGAGAACCACTGCTCTAGTTGATAATAAGTTGAACGCTTTGGTGTTTTCACCAGAAATTGAACACTTATTTATTTGCCCACGCAGGCCTTTCCTTAGCTATTGTGTTGCTGTTAACATTAAAATTGTTTTTAGATTTTTATGATCTTTACTGGTTTAAATGACTGTACAATTTATTATATTTATAACAATTATTTTGTTTTTATGACAAGCAGTATAGAATGTTGAAAATTAATAAGAGAGTTGTACATGATAACAAAATTTGTCTTGAAGATTTCTTTGGAGATATAAATAAAACATGGAATTAAAAATAATTCTTCAAATCCACTAGATAAACTGAAATGAATTTCACGAGACCAATAGCCAGAGCCATAGCACTTACTTAACATCAGTAATCGGATTTCCTATAGAGTTAAATGAGCTCATATTCATTGATTCAATAATCTTAGCCTCTAGCTACCATTGAACTGAACTGCTGAAAGAAATGCCTAAGAATTCCATTGGAGAGCAGAACTAAGGAGAGGGGAATTGAAAACAGTCTTGAAACAAAAAATAAATTTTTGTTAAAACAGGAATATACTTTCTCCAAGCAGAGGATTACCCTTGGCCTTTGAGAGGTGCAGCTGAGATAGCAACAGCCATAGCCATTCAAAAAGCCATTTGAAACATCCAAAGATATAATAAAGGCAAGCTTCTACAAAATGGATGTATATATTTCTTATAAACTACAGTAAATAATTTTTCACCATGAGGTGAAACTAAAGAACTAATTGTCCTTCCTTGGCCTGATTCTAATCTCTAAACTTTGCCAAATACTTGATTACAAATACTTCTATTTTGCTGCCTCCCGTTAATCCAGGAAATTTGTCAATGATATCAAAAAAAGCTTAATTTTCTATAAATGGCACAAGAGCCTTACTGACACTCTAGAGTCTAGACCACTAGAAAATTAATATTTCACTGGGAAATGTTTTGCACTTGTCTATTAGAATGTGCACTAAATTGGTAAAATGTCACGAAAATGTTTCTATTCACATGCTAGGAATAATGACTTTGAATTCAGAATTTATCCTTTGCTTATGGTTTTCTTCCTTACCCCCATGTCCTCTGGGTATTGTTTTGAATTTGGGGAATGGTATGTGTAGTCAAATGAGATTTTGACTGATTTTTTAAAAACGGGGCAATTTTTCAAGGATAGGAAAGGAATGATATGGGTATATTTGAACCTATTGGCAACTTTTAATATTATTCCAAATACACAAATACACTTTACTTTTGAAAAGCCCAAGGCATTGTAAGATATACTAAAGTAGCATTTCCATCTAGTGGACCCTGCTATTTTCCTTGGTGACCCCCAAGTATCAAAGCCAGGCACTTAGGAACTTCCTAGGAAATTAGAAAGAGGAGTCCCATCTTACTAAGGATCTCCACAGAGCTGGTGTTGGCTCTGACATCACGGCCCTTCTTAGGTTACCTGCCCGTTCCAGTTCCTGTGCCTGCTTCTTCCTCTGTATCTCCAAAAACCTCCGGCGCTGTTCCTCCTGTAGCCACCGGGCCTGATCTTGGGCTGTCTTCTCAGCTTGTCGTTCCCTTTCTGCCTCTTCTTCCTGCAGCTGCCGCTCTGCTTCAAGCTGCTGTTTTCTTAAACTGAGAGAAAATAAAGTTGGTCATAAAAGTCCAGTAGGACTCAGGTAAGCATTGCCTGGGAATGTACTGTAGATGAAACAGATAAGACCGGAAATAGACATTAGAAACAATTCTTCTCAAGCCCTAACTTGGAAATATGTCAAGAGCTATTGGATTTGCAATTTACTTTTTCCTTTTTTTCTATATGATGGGGCAAGAAAACTTGTTCCAGTAACTCTAGGAGCATCATCATAGCTAAGAATCATTTCTACACTCTTCACTGGGTTAGCTGGAGGGAGCACTGACTGGTTTGTGATGTTCCTTGCCTGTTCTTAATTTCTGAAGCTTCAAAAGACTTCGGGGAAACAGGGACAGAAAAGGTATCCATGGTTTCTTGGCAGTTTTTGGATGGGGGTGGGAAAGGGAAGGGTGTGGAAGCAACCCGCAACTTCTCTTGTATCAAATAGGAGATTATTATTTCTTTCTGCTCACCGAAACTCCTCAATCCTCCTTTGCTTTTCCTGTTCCATTTCTTCTCTCATTTTCTCCATACGCTCCTGCTCTTCCTGCTCTTTCCTTTTCCGCTCTTCCTGTTCTTTTCGCTTTGTCTCCACTGCCAGCCGTCGCTTTTCTGCCCTCTCTGCTATTAACCTGTCTCGTGATAGTTTCAGCTCTTCTTTGTACAGAGACAAATCCTGATCAATTGAAAAAGGAGTATAAAAGAGGATTAGGATCAAACACTAAGTCAGGCCTGGACTTCACTAATGGAGCAGAGAAGGGCATTTCCAATATATTTGGTATCTGAAGACGGCAGATGCGGGATTTATTTAAACTGTCAGAACTCTGTCAAACTTTATCAAGTTTATAGCAAGCATTATTACATGTATTCCAAGGGCCTTTAAACACCCCACCCCCAACACACACACACTATTACCTTCACAACAATTTTGTACAATTGTTGTGGCCCCGCCCTCTGAGCCTATCCCATCGGAGGAAGAAAGCTCCGAGCATGAGGAAGAGGAGTCAGCCAGGCCTCCCTCTCAAGGCCCCTCCCCTCTGGCACTGTCTCAGGTGCCGGCCGAGGGAGAGGAGATTAGCCGGGAGACAGGTGTCTCGGATGAGAGTGAAGGAGAGACATCATTCCTGGACGCACGCCTCCGAAGGCGTGATAAACGATTGCAGCAGCTCAGGAGGCGTGCTAGGGATTAGAACTGAGTCACTGGACCACACCCCAGAGACTATATAATAGAGGGTGGTGGCCAGTGATCCCTGTGACGAACAAAAATAAACCTTGGATAGTCACTAAAGCATCGTCCGGAACTACTGAGAAGAATATTATTTTATGTTGGACTCTTGTACGCTGAGTATATTATCTTTCTGTTTCTGTGGAAATAAAAGCACTTGGCAGACGGTGTGTATATCGCTGCCAAGTTGGAGATAAAGACCTGGGTGTGTGCCAAGTGCTTCCTTAACCCTCGGCTGGCCGTGTTCGTGTGTGTGTGTGGACGGGGACAGATCAACAATAGGTTAGGTTGAGAGATGATGATGGGCCAAAGGTCACCCAATGCGACTTATCCTGGCATGGAGATTTGAACTCAAATCACCCTATTTTACTTAAATGCTGTAATGACAATGTTCTGATTGTCCCCAGGCTTTTTAGAGTGCTTCCATGTGATGACTTTACACCAGTTTCAAAATCAGTTTTCATAACATTGAAATACAGTATTGAGAACTGGCATTTTTTGGCTTATAGTGAAATGGAAACACCATTTCCCCAAAAATAAGACCTATCAGGAAAATAAGCCCTAGCATGACTTTTATGTGTGCATCTAATATAAGCCCTACCCCCAAAATAAGCCCTACTTAAGAGCCTGTGCCCGTCCATTCTGTCTGGTTGCTCGGGATGCCAAAATGAAGTGAGGCAAGGCAGTTAGGGGTGTGGAGCTGCCCCATGTGCCCTGTACTGGCTTACCACAATGCCCCCGCAGCCAGGCTACCCATGTCCCGACAATGGCCTCATGGCAGCAGCACTGGCAGCAATGTGCAGCAAGAGCCCATGTGACCGCCAGCCCACTTCTGTTTGCTCACAGCTCCAATGGAGCAGGAGGCCAAACGATGTGTTGGTGCCATGGCTACAAAGTGAGGCAGGTGTCAGGGCATGGATGGCCTGGCTGCAGGGGCCCTGAGGTAAGCTGTGTGGAGTGCATGGGGGAAGCTCCACCCCCTGCCTTGCCTTGTGGCCATGGCATCGGCATGCCACTGGACCTTCTGCTCTGTTGTGGTTGTGAGCAAGCAGAAGTGGGCCAGTGGCCATGTGGGCTCCTGCTGGACATGGCTGCTGGTCTTAGCCCTGGAGCCATCTTTAATGGGAGTCTTCAGGGCTACCACAGTGGTGGCTGGGCAAGCTGTGGGAACGGGAGTGGGGAGGTGGAGATAGCGTAGGGTATATAATCATAACATTCTTTCCCTGGGGAATCAAGGATGTCTCGGCAGCACCTGGGGAGGCATGAATGGAAATTAACCCGAGTTGGGACAGTGACCCGATTGGACCATGTGATGCACATGTGGATTGAGGGGAAGGAACTTTGACTTTACTTTGGGTGGGAAGAACGCAGGGCTTTCAGATTTGGGTTTTCCCCAGATGTGCCAATATGACATCTCTAATAAATCTATACTTTGAGGAAGATGCCTGCCTTGGAGTTTTGATTCTGTTGGGGGTGTTACTTGGAACCCTGACAGCTGGTGCTGCCGCTGTGAGGCAGTTGTCAGGGTGTAGATGGCCTGGCTGCTCCATCCCTCCCATCTCACCTCATGGCTGTGGCACCACGAGCAACCAGACAGAATGGGTGGCCGGCCGGCTGCGCAGGCTCTTAAGTAGGGCTTATTTTGGGGGTGGGACTTATATTAGACATATATGTAAAAACATGCTAGGGTTTATTTTTGGGATAGGTCTTATTTTCAGGGAAATGGCGCACGCGCACGCACTCATAGAGACACACACAGTGAGAGGGAGACACACATATACACACTTGCTAGTAAAATGAGGCAAGGGAGCTATCTCTCCCACATGCCATGTTAGGAAAAGGACAAGAGGTAAAGAATATTGAAATATTGGCTCATCCATATGGCATAATCTGAAGCTTCAGTTAACAAGGGCAGCTACATTATGTGTTATAAAGTCAATGTCTTTTAAACCTCTCTGCAGATCTCTTACAGGGTCTCTAAATGGATTGGTGCCTTATTCCTGGCATTTTTTCTAAGGGTTTTTTATATTTGAAATAAAGATATAGTTTCAGAAACTGTAATATTAATAAGTGGACAAAGAAAATGACTGAAGTTATTTAATAATATAACATTAATAAAAGATAATACCAAACCAAATACACTGAATTGTTTTTATTATATGAAGAAGAAGTATAATTCTTTGAACTCCATTATAATTGTATGGGAAAAAACTCTTTTGAGGGCAAAGCTATGAAGTTAAAAATTAAGCTCATACAATAGCATATTTCTTCATCGTCTGAACAGAATTGGCATAGCTGACCATAGCTATAGATGGACCCAATATTTGTTACAAATCTCACTGTATGAATACTGCACAGTTTTTCAAGAACAGAGAATTATCATATGCAAGTAAAGGAGGATGACCTGAAACAGGGCTCCTATAACATACCTGAGTGGAAATGTTAAATACAGCAAGCAAGCCTTAGCAGGACTACTGCTATAATTTTTAATATTAGCTGGAGGTCCAAATACCACATTATTTTCAACATGCTTTTTTCTGTGCAATTTTGTTTTCTGAAATGCCTTGGAGCAATTGAGGAAGGCAACAAGCTCAAGGCCTTGGAATATCCTAGTAAATGCTGTAGTTCCACACAAAAATGTTGGAGGAAATCCTACTAAGGCAGTGGAGCTTACTTTTCATCAGACATTCATGAGAATCTGCTGTTTATTGTCTGCCTGGCAGACAATAAGCAGTGTCCACTTCTAATTCAGATAAATCTGATACAAAGGTGGCAATGAACAGTTAACTTCTTATATTTTATCATAAGCTGCAATAAACAAAAATTATGTAAGGAAAATTTAAATGAGCCTTTATTCGGAGGGGGGTGGGAAGCAAACCTTACCTCCATTAGCTGATTTCCCTGCTCGGCATCAGCCTGAGAACCATTTGCAGTGGAGACTGCTTTGTAGGTGGCAATGGATGTTTCACTAGCAGGTCCTGGATGAAACCCAGAAGTATTGCCAAACTCTTCACTAAACGTTTGGTTCATATCATGTGTCAAGGGATGCTCCTCCATAAAAATGCTAGAATCAGGAAGACTTTGGTCACCTTCTCCTCCTCCTTTTTCTTCTCTTTGTTCTTCTATAAGACAGCTAATAGGTTCTGCTTCAACATCGTCTTGCCCTGAATCTGTCTCGTGGGTTTGCTCTTCCACACTGACTAATCGTTTGGCAAGTGTGGGTTCTCCCTTGGACTGAGCAATTGTTTTCCTAATAATTCTTTTTTTTCTGGGCTTCCCTGTAAGAAAGAAGTATTTTTGTTGTTGTTAGTTGTGAAGTCGTGTCTGACCCATCGCGACCCCATGGACAATGTTCTTCCAGGCCTTCCTCTCCTCTACCATCCTCTGGAGTCCATTTAAGCTCATGCCTACTGCTTCAGTGACTCCATCCAGCCACCTCATTCTCTGTCGTCCCCTTTTTTTGCCCTCAATCTTTCCCAGCATTAGGCTCTTCTCCAGTGAGTCCTTCCTCTCATTAGGTGGCCAAAGTATTTGAGTTTCATCTTTAGGATCTGGCCTTCTAAAGAGCAGTCAGGGTTGATCTCCTCTAGGACTGACTGACTGACTAAAGTATTTTTATTCTGCTCTATTCCACAGATCTATAGCTGGGACTAAAATTACCTTTTGTAAGTCATTTGGGTGGGGGGATGACTTCACAGAGATTTTAAAATTATTAATTGTAGGATTAGGCCTATGCTACAGAAAATTGTGCAATAGTACCTTCACAGCAGTAGTGGGTTTCAATTTTGGCGCTACCGGTCCGCTTGCAAGTGCTCACGACACTTCTGCACATGCACAGAAGCTTCTGCACATGTGCAGAGACGTCAGGGCAGGTGGATGGAGCCTCCCGCCACCGCCGCTACTGGTTCGCCCTATCCAGGGCGAACCGGTAGCAACCCACCACTGCTTCACAGGCGTTTGGAAGCAAAGTGATAAAGAAAAACAGCTGAGTTTTTCTGTTCCCCAAATCTATACCTTAAGAAGGAACCTTGTCCCACCTGTTTCCCTCCCCCAGATCTGTTAAAGCATCAGCATCTTATCTGCTCATATGCTTTTTTTTTTTTTTAATAAAATGGGCAGTCAGCCCACCAAAGCTTTCTATTAAGATAATTTATCCAATAGATCATTAGGGCTGAGCACTTAGAAAATTAAGAGCCCTAGAACTCACTGGGGAGCAGCACCTCCCAGCTATTCATTAAAGCAGCTGAACTTTATTTAGGTTTCTGCCTCAACCTGGAAAAAATGTAACTGGTTAAAAAAAGCCATTGAAGTTCATGAGCTGGCTTGTCAAAAATCCCACATCTTGTGGAAGCCTGAAAAAGATGTGCTGATTTATCACGTCACACACAGGTGCTACCCTCATGTAAATTCTGAAGTATTTTCTCCAAAACATTAACTGCTTTTTTGTATTTGGGGGGGAGAGTGAGTCCTTCTATAGTGCTTTATTTGTAGAAGATTTGGATTTTTTTTTTTTTGTATTTTAAATTGTGCTCCATTGTTATTTCGCCAACAGATCAGACTGATTCACACAATCTTTTTAATGCTTAGAATGGCGTTCCTTCCCCAGAGGCATCACCAATGATTTCCAATAGAAGAGAATATATGTAGCTCAGGGTTGAACTGTGGAGTCCTTGGTGGTCTCTGAGCTGGTTGTTTGGTTGCAGATGTTTTGTACCCAACTAAGTAACATCATCAATGCCCTAGTCTACCAATGACTTCTTTATATTAGTGGCCAGAAAAAGTAAATGAAAACCAAGGAAGGTTCATCAGGAAAGGAGATCAAAGATGGCACAAATGTGCCAAAATCTTGCCTCTGCCAATTTAAATGAGTATTTTCAACTTTAGAAAAATAATGCAACTAATATAATCTCACCAAAACTCCTTGCTCATTGGTAGATAAGATAGTTTCCCAGTTTTCTTTTATTCATTTCTTGGCTAATTTTCTTTCAGTTTACCTTGAACTTGACAAAGGGTTGCTTTTTGTAAAGCAGGTTACATGGCCACCAATCTAGCCCTTGCTTATTAAGAAACTGTTAGAAAATTCTCTCTCTCTCTCTCTCTCTCTCTCTCTCTCTTTCCCTCCCTCCCACTCTCTCTCTTGACTTTTTCCTAAATTGTCAATATGTAATAGCAAAGTCGTACCTACAACAAACTCTGTCTGACTTTGGTATTTCTCTTTCTTCAAATTCTTTTTTTGTTTTTTCAACCCATCTCCAGTTTTCTGTATTGGCTGTTTTTTTTGTCTTTCAGTCCTTTTGCTCTTTAAAACTCCTTCAGCCTGGAAATAAGAAAAGAAGAATCAGATGTAGACATTTCTTTTTTAATGTCACCCTACCCTCTGTCTGGGAAGTGAGTGCATGAACAAAAGCAGAGGCTGGGCCTAGTCCAATTCATCCTTATTATAATTTTTCCAGAAAGTAGCATTTTTTTCTCATCTGCACTGAGCATCTCTGAAGTGAACTACATCAATCTACTGACTGACTGACCAACCAACTACCAAACTTCCTATGTCTAGTGACAATTAAAGGATAAATAATAAATGAACCACTCCTGGCAGAAAGAATACATGAAACATCTCCACATGATCTAAGAAGCGCAGAAAGCTGAGTCTAGGACAGAATGGTAAGAGAAAAGGAGAGAAGTTGCAAGGGAAAAGGCAAGTATTTCATGACAATTAAGAGAGATCAACATGAGTATTGCCTGCCAGCAATGCTAAAGCCGATCTGGAAACTGACATTACATTTGCCAAGTTCCAGTTTTTCTAAAGTGATGAGATAATGGTACTCTGAAATTTATCACCAAGTAAGTCCATGTCACCCAATCTAGCTTTGTTTCTCTCCTTCCTCCCCATTTCCTCAATAACTCAGGTCCAGATCAGTTTTGTTTGTGTTGCAGGCACAAGATTGAAACCCCAGCCCATACCTGTTTGAGATGGGCAACCTCAGCTGGCTGGCTGGTTGACTCTGACATATATTCTTCCATGCCAAATATTTCAGAAGCATACAGGTCAATTCTTGGATTCTTCATAACTTCTTCATGGTAGTCAAAAGGTTTTATGGAAGCATGTTCAGGATTTGGAGCTTGCCTTCTTTGATAATACAATTAAGGGATCATATTTAGGTCAGATAAAGGTCTTTTCAAAGCCAAATGCTTTTCTGGGGAAGCACTACCTGGTTTAATTCTCTAGAGTTACTACACGTTCAGCCTGATGGAGCCTTTGTATTCTTGCATTATATGAAAATATGGTGGGTGGAAATATATTATCCTGAAAGGCCACCCTGTTTTGGATCCACAGAGGTAGAGCACAAACTATGTGGCCCAAGTTGGTTGAAGAGACCCTGAGGTTTTTGATAATGTTTGATGAAAGTACCTTATTTGACAAAAAACCCTTGTTTGTTTGCTTGTTGATTTATTACTGGTATTTTTATGCAGCTCTACTCTAAAAGAACTCTGAGCAGTCTATGGCAAAGATAACAACATTATAATTATATGAACCAATAGAGATAGAGCTTAAAAAGAAATCTAACTTCCCTCAAATACTACAAAAGTTGACTGTTCTTAGCTATTTTAGCAATGTAGCACCTACCAGATGTGTTGGACAATAGTTCTCAAAACTGACAGCCAGTTTAGACAGTCTGGAATTCTAGAGTTTGTAATATAGTTGGAGTGTCTCTACTAGTTGGAAAATAGACAAATATACAACCATCTACACATTATACCTACATACACAGTATACTTCTCAGGTATCTAAATAAATCTTCTATCAAGAATTTAAAATGTTTGTCCAAGTTTGCTGATGCATCGGGTCTATGTGCTTGACTGTCTTATTTTCTTGCACTGAGCTCTTCTACAAGTTAGTAGCTGTCCCATATACTTACATTTCAGATGTAGAAATCTTCAAATGAGCAAGATGTGGTTCATAGTGGAAGATATTAGTTGATCGAGCTGAGGAATCTAGTTGTTCCCCTTCATCTACAAAGGAAAAGGGGAGGTAAAAGAGCTACATTTTAGCAGGTTACACTTTGAATCTTGGCAAGAAACCAGGTGAACAGGCAAATCATCAGCCAGATAAGTCATTTCTTTCTGAGAAAATTGGCCCTTCCATTAAGCAGAGTGAAATGATCTTCTCAAGCAACTGATCTTGGTATCATGAACAGCAGCAAATTGTTAGTAATTTAATGTGATGTTAACTATATTGTATTTGCTCAGCATGAGAGTGAATGCTGTGGCCTCATTTGCCAAAATTAGATAGCAAGGATTTCTAATATCTGTTTCTAATATAAATTAGAACCTATTAAGGTTGACTTTGGTTCTATCCTAGTCACATAGATAGATCCCTTAACAGATGGGATTAGGTGCAACTTTATTTAGCAAACTGGTATAATTTAGGTTGTTGGTTATTTAATGAAGAATTTATACAATTTCGTTTCTTCTCATTGAATTTATAAACCCTTCTCATAATTGAAGTGTGATGAAATCCATTTGCATATTTGAAGGTTCTCAAGAATGCCATCTGGATACATAGGCTGGTATATAATCAGCCATGATCTTGTCATCCTTGCCATGTTTTAATTTTTCCCCTACCCATCAATTTTATTGATTTCTTTTTATTTAAAAGACTTATATGGCTGGTCATCTTATGTACTATAACCCCGATGGCTCACAAAACAATAAAACATCAAAGAATATTTAGAAATCATTAGCAGGAAACTCCTGGCACCCTCCCACTCACCTCCAAACAAACAAAATATGTTGTTGTTTTTTCTGCGCTCCAGCCTCACCCTACCCCAATCTGAAAGTTTAAAGTGATTTCTTCAGTGGTGGGTTTCCCCCTGTTCGGTCCGGTTCTATAGAACTGGTAGTAAAACTAGCAGGAAGCTCTGCTCACCCACCATGATGTCATCATGGGTGATCTGCACATGCATAGAAGCTTCAGCGCGCATGCTCCCGTTGTGAACCAGTGGTAAAGGTAAGTAGAACCAACCCCTGGATTTCTTCAGCTGGCCTTATAAGGGCAGTGTCTTTATATCTTTTGCTTTCTTTGACATTACCTCTATCATGTGAAAATGCTAACTGACTGCATGAGAGCAATTTTTTAAGAGTGAGCTTCTGAGGAGAAGAATGCTACTGTCTGGAATAATTACAATCACTTTTGTTAATTCACGTATAACTACAAGAGCATTATATGGCAAAAAAAACAAAACCTGGTGATGCTAACTTTAAAAATGAAGTCTCTGAATCTGCAGTGTTTAGCCAAGGGGCTCCTTGCAACAGTGTGGAATGTCTGGAAGGTAGCAGCTTCACCATCCCAGCCCCGTCTGCACACAAAGCGCAACAAGTTGTAGCTTTAAAAGTGAAGTCTCCAGAGGATTCTCTTTATACTACCTGGGAAAATCTGGGAATTGAAGGTCACATTTCTTAAAGGTACCAAGGTTAAGAAATACTAAACTACTAACTAGACCAAAATCCTAAACTGAAGAGACTTTAGGTCTGATCTGTTAGCAATGGGCTATTACCAACAGAGGGAGCTCTTGATCCAAGAATAGACAATCAACCATACAAAGTGTTTCCTCAACCCCTTGATTTACAAGGGAAAAGGAGCAGATGCAAAGCTTTTGTATTAAGTCAGCTGACTCAGTTTGATATCCTTCAGGTATATAACATTATAAATCCGATTTCATCTAACATCATCCCTGCCCAGAATGACAACAGGGATTAATTAAAGCCTAAAAGAACGAAGGGACATCTAGTAAGGAAATATTGTTTTAAAGAAATACAGATATTACTCTTCTTACAATCTTTGGAGTTATGAACTTTTGCTATTACGAATAAACCCGTCCACAATTCCAACCGTGTGGGTAATTATGGGGGCGACATGGCGTGAGCTGCACTGGCTTCCGGTGGTCTTCCGGGTGCGCTTCAAGGTATTGGTTCTCACCTTTAAAGCGCTCCATGGCTTAGGGCCCGGTTATTTACGAGACCACCTTCTGCCACCGATAACCTCCCACCGGCCAACTCGGTCCCACAGAGAGGGCCTCCTTAGGGTGCCGTCGGTCAAGCAATGTCGACTGACGACCCCCAGGGGGAGAGCCTTCTCTGTGGGGGCACTCGCCCTCTGGAATGAGCTACCCCCAAGAATACGACTAATCCCGGACCTCCGGACCTTCCGTCGAGCTTTGAAGACCTTCCTATTTCAGCAAGCTGGGCTGGCTTAAAATTTTAATGGGTTATTTATTTGTTTATTTATTTGTTTAAATTTCTATACCGCCCTTCTCCAATATAGGACTCAGGGCGGTGAACAGCCAAAATAAAACAAGACATACATACAAAACATACAAAATCTAAAAACTGATTAAAATAATTAAATCTTTTGGCCGTAATTAAAACAATTCCAATTTAAAATCAGTTTAAAATTTGATTCAAGCCAGCCCAGCTAGTTGAAATAAATGGGTTTTCAGGGCCCGACGAAAAATCCGGAGGTCTGTTATTATCCGTAACTCTGGGGGGAGGTTGTTCCAGAGGGTGGGCGCCACCACAGAGAAGGCTCTCCCCCTGGGGGTCGCCAGCCAACATTGTCTGGCGGACGGCACCCTGAGGAGGCCCACTCTGTGTGAGCGCACTGGCCGGTGGGAGGCTATTGGTGGCAGAAGGCGGTCTCGTAAGTACCCCGGCCCTAAGCCATGGAGCGCTTTAAAGGTGGTCACCAACACCTTGAAGCACACCCGGAAGACCACCGGGAGCCAGTGCAGCTTGCGCAGGAGAGGTGTCACATGGGAGCGCCTCGTCGCCCCCATAATCCCCCGCGCGGCCGCGTTCTGGACCAGCTGGAGCCTCCGGGTGCACCCCAGGGGGAGCCCCATGTAGAGAGCGTTGCAGTAGTCCAGGCGGGAAGTGACGAGTGCCTGAGTGACTGTGCGTAGGGAGTCCCGATCTAGAAAGGGGCGCAACTGGCGTATCAGGCGAACGTGATAGAAAGCCCTCCTGGCCACGGCCGTCAAATGATCTTCCAAAGACAGCCGTGCATCCAGGAGGACGCCCAAGTTACGAGCCCTCTCCGTGGGGGCGAGTGATTCACCCCCAATAGCCAGCGATGGCATCAGCTGGCTATATCGGGACGCCGGAAGCCACAGCCACTCGGTCTTGGAGGGGTTGAGTCGGAGCCTGTTTCTCCCCATCCAGGCCCGCACTGCCTCCAGGCACTGGGACATCACTTCAAGGGCATCATTGGGGTGGCCTGGGGTGGAGATGTACAGCTGGGTGTCATCAGCGTACTGATGGAACTCCACCCCGAAGCCACGGATGATCTCACCCAGCGGCTTTACATAAATGTTGAACAGAAGGGGCGAGAGGACCGACCCTTGTGGCACCCCACAAGCAAGGTGCCTCGGGGTCGACCGCTGCCCCCCTGTCAACACAGATTGCGACCGGTCAGAGAGGTAGGAGGAGAACCACCGCAGAACGGTGCCTCCCACCCCCAACCCCGCCAGCCGGTGCAACATGATACCATGGTCGATGGTATCAAAAGCCGCTGAGAGGTCTAACAGGACCAGGATAGAGGAGCAACCCCTATCCCGGGCCCTCCAGAGATCATCCACCAATGCGACCAATGCCGTTTCCGTGCTGTGCCCAGGCCGGAAGCCGGACTGGAGCGGGTCTAGATAGACAGCTTCATCCAGGTACCGGGGAAGCTGTTGCGCCACCACACTCTCAACAACCTTCGCAACGAAGCGAAGGTTGGAGACTGGACGATAGTTAGCCAGAACAGCCGGATCCAGAGAGGGCTTCTTGAGGAGGGGCCTCACAACCGCTTCTTTCAAAGCGGCCGGCAGGACCCCCTCACTCAAAGAAGCATTAACAATCTTCTGGAGCCAGCCTCGTGTCACCTCCCGGAAAGCCAGTACCAACCAGGAGGGACACGGGTCCAATAAACATGTGGTCGCGTTCAGCCGTCCCAGGACCCTGTCCATGTCCTCGGGAGCCACAGGATCGAACTCCCCCCAGATAACACTCTCAAGACCTGCCTCAGTCATCCCGTCCGGACATACCCAGTCAGAGGCCAGCCCTTCCCGAATCTGAGCGATTTTGTCATACAGATACTGCACAAAATCCTCAGCTCGACCCTGCAAGGGGTCATCCCGCACCTCCAGATGGAGGAGGGAGCGGGTCACCCTAAACAGGGCAGCCGGGCGATTATCTGATGATGCGATAAGAGCGGCAAAATAGCTAGTTTTCACCGCTTTTATCGTCACTAGGTAGGTCTTAATATGAGACCTCACCAGTGTTCGGTCAGATTCGGAGCGGCTGGTCTTCCAACTACTCTCCAGGCGTCTTTTCCGGCGCTTCATCTCCCTAAGCTCCTCGGTAAACCAAGGAGCTAGGTGAGTTCGGTGCCGGGTCAGAGGCCGCAAAGGCACGACTCGGTCCAAGGCCCCGGCAGCCGCACTATCCCAGGCGGCCACCAGGTCCTCAGCCGAGTCATGAGCCAGAATCTCAGGAAATGGCCCAAGCTCCATCTGGAACCTATCAGGGTCCATCAGGCCCCTGGGGCGGAACCACCTGGTCGGTCCCGCCTCCCTGCGGCGGGGTGCAGCGGTTAGAAAGTCTAGTCGAAGGAGCGAGTAGTCAGTCCATGACAAGGGTTCGATGGCTATATCCCCTATATCAAGGCCACTCAACCACTGACCAGAGACAAAAACTAAGTCCAGAGTGTGTCCCCCTGTGTGGGGGTTATTTTAAGGGTAATGGGTTTTAATTTTTGGGAAGCCAATTCGATTTAATTCTGCTTTTAAATTATTTTAAATTTTATATTGTATGTATTTTAATTTTGGCTGTTCACCGCCCTGAGTCCTTCGGGAGAAGGGCGGTATACAAATTTAAATAATAAAATAATTAATAATAAACCTACAAGGTCCCAAAAGTTGAGACTTTTCAGTGTGATGCACATCTATGCTTGTTTGGACTTGCAAATAAAA